ATCCGACGACCCCTGTGTATCAAATAGCGTGGTAAATGCGGTGCCTCGGCTCATTGTGGTTGCTTTAAATAATCATCCCTGCCAGTTGCAAAAACACTGTGGCTTTTTTGCATCGCAAGATCCGTTAGACCCTTTCAAGCATCCTCGGCTAAAGAGAGGCGAACGACTTTTACGTCGAAAGAAGTTACCGCATCCGATCGAGGGAATAAGAGAAAAAAAAAATGAAAAGATTGTTCTACGGTTCAACTCTTGGAAAGCACACGGAACCACGAGGAACGCGGCGCGGTAGAGATTATTACACAGTAAGAGTGTTAATTTATCGTATCGCGACCTCGGGTCAGATCGGGTCAGACGAGAGCTCGCTCGCGCTTCCACGGACATCCGTGTGCGGGAGTATCAGGACACCCGGTATGCCCCGGTACACGGAGCTGGACCCACGGAGCGAGCGGGCAACTTCGGAGCGTCTGACCTCTGACCCAGGAGTTCTCTCCGTCCTCCTCTCCACGGATCGCGTTCCTCCTCCGCCCCTCCGCCCGCCTTTCCACTCTTCCCTCCTTGTTCTCTCTTGCTCGCCATGCCGCGCGGTGCATACTCCGCTTTATACTTGCGCTTTAAGCACCGTGGCCTCTTTTAAATAGCGGACCTCTGCGCCAGGGCGATCCACGACGTCGTCGAGCGTTACGGATCCCCTTGGTCCCCGGGACGAGATAATAATAATGATAACGACCGCCAGCGCGCGCGGTCCGGCGAAAAAATTGTACCGAATCGTATAATGAAACAGAAGAAGGGAGAAAGAGAGAGAGAGACGCGAAGGGCGACTCGCATTGACTCGGTGATTTTACCTTTTCTTTCTTCCTCAACCTATTATTTTATTACCGACACATGTTAGAAATTATCAAGGTTGAGCGTTTAAATTTAGACAACCTAAACTATGTATGTGATGTTATCTATATAGACTATGAGTAATTTATGTCGCTCAAAGAACGTATAGCTTGCTAAAGAATTAATTAAAGAAAGTTCCATTTAACCTTTAGAACTCTTTGATAGAAATTTGTAAACGTTGTTTGCTAAACAAGTTAGAGACCACAGTTCTCTGGCGACGTTCTTATCTTCAAAATTAAATCTGTCACATAATAAAATGAAAATTTCATGCGTTACTTTTTTCAGACATTACACTTATAATTAATACTCAAAATGATGATTCGTACTGCCTGCTTTTTAAAGTTCTTGAAATAAAATTTCACTCGAGAAATTCACTCATGATCACCACAACAAAGTAGAGTCACTTGAGTAATTTTTCATTCTTGTAGAGTGTGAATCTCCACTCTAAATCGACAAGTGAATATTTTCACTCAAAATTAAAAAGCGATCTTATGTACTCTACTATCATATGAACATGTTCAATCGATTGACACATTCACTCATTTGAAGTGAAACATTCGCTCTTGCGATTTCGAATAGCAATATCTTCATTGTCGTTTCTAATGAAAATATTGCTTCTTTTCACTCATTTTTAGTAAGATTTCATTTCAAAAAATTTAGAGAATAGGGAAGACCAGGACTAGTTAACTACCGAAGAAAGTTGGCAAAACTTACCTCGGTAGTCATTTCTGTTATTTTCTAACAAACTTCTAAGTAAGCAAGATTTTTAAACATGTCAAAGATGGCTTTGAAATCCTTGCTTGCTTGACTCTGAAATCTGTTAAAAACAGCAGAAATCGATTTTGCCAATTTACCTCGATAGCCAACTAATCCCCCTATACTTACTTATATTATTGTTCGATGATAAAATTATTGAATGTAATCGCATCAACTCTAAATTGATCAGAAAGGGCAACTGTAAATTTTGCAAACAGAATTTAGTGATAATCTGAATATATTCATTAATGTTGAATTATGAGTTTTCACGAATTTTATTAGACCTATTATTTTACTGTCTAAAAATGTTATAAATTATTATATTATATGTAATGTAGTGGTATGATTTGTATTGCCTATGCTTATTTAAATTATTGTTCAGTGATTTAAATAAACATCAATGATTTAAATTATTGTTCAATGATGAGATTATCGAATGTAATCGCATCAAATTGTTCAAAGAGAGCAACCACAAATTTTGCATCCGTAATTCAAAAGTAGACTGAATATATTTATCGATGTTGAATTACGGATTTCCGCGGCCTTCGCATACTCGCGATTGAAATTTATTAGATTGGAAATCAATTTTCGAAATATAAGCGTAATACTGAGCGACCCGTCTCGCACAGACTCGCTGTCGGCGAGGGGTGCCTACGAACGGATCAATTTTATTTTGCAATATTTCATATCGCGGCTACCCAGTCGCGGCGAGTAGACACCAAAAAAAAGTTAGCAGCAAACCAATCAGCGTGTCGATATCAAATTTTAATCTCGCACTCGCCTTCCTCTCTATACATTCGAGTGGGATATCGACAGCCTGATCGTGAAACTACCCATTTCGCGAAACGAACAAATTTTTTCATCATTTCGCGAACTAGCCTCTCTCTTTCTTCTTAACCAATTCACGGCGGGAACGTATTCAGCCTGTGAAATGGACAGCAATCAAATTGTTCGATTCAATAAGGAACTTGCCTATTGATACAACAGTTCCAACTGTTCCAGCAGGATAGCGGTAGAACGAGATAATAATTTTAGCGGAAAGCTACTTCTGTAGTCACCACCTGACTGGATATACTGATTATATCGCGTAAAGTAGCTGCAAATTATGTATACTTGAAACTATAAAGTAAAGTAAACGTTTACGTTATGCATCCGAGCTTATATATTACTTTCAGCTTTGCGAATATCGATTTGCGCTACCGATTCATTCATCACACCGCGAGATAAGAGGAAGTTGATTGGTAATGAAGTATATACATAAAAAATAGATGCGCACATTCAAGTAAATGCTACTTGTTTCGAGTATATAGTAAGCTTATATTAGGTCATTAAATATGAAATGCCTGATTTCTTTAAGTGCTAAGTTTGACAGTCGATATTTCTGACATTTCACTTTCACAATTCTTGTTTTTTTTTTTTTTTTTTTTTTTTTTTATAAAAGTATATACGCACGCAAGGTTATACGCATGTTTGTAATTATCTTTTTTACAACAATCTCAACGAAGTGTTTGGCGAGGATATAGCTAATGAAACGTACAGTACGTCGATGGTTTGAGAAGTTTCGTTTTAGCGATTTTAATCTCGAAAATGAGCCACGTGGGCTACCTGAGACCAAGGTGGATAATAAGAAATTGAAAGCTATAATGGAGGCGGTTACATCTCAAACTATGCATCAATATCTCCAATATCTCCAGGCTTCTTTGCCAGCATAAACAAGCTACCGTTAAGATGACAAAATTGTGTCGATAATTTAGGCACATACTTTAATTAATTATTTTTGTTTGAAATATAATAAACCAAACTTTTCATTCAAAATCGGACATTTCGTATTTAATGACTTAATATATCGTAAAATCATAAAAATTGTATTTTTATATAAAATGAAATTTTAAACACAGATTCGTAATAAAAAAGAACTAGTTACAAATAGAGATACGCAAAAAGTATCTATATATTGTAATTAGATACATATAGCTAGATATATTACGTTTGTTCAATCAATTAGTTGTTTGAGAAGTTATAACTTGAAAAATATAACATCTTGTCCCAGTTTTTTTTTACTTAAAAGGAGGAAAGTAAACAATAATTTTTCTTATCAAAGTAGAGTGATGTTTTTCAATGTGTACAGAGTACACGGAAAAGATCGCGAAATAGACGAGAAATGGTGCGATTCACTTCGCGAAATTGACGGTCTCTTCGAGTCGTGGTGTCGATAACGAATTAACCGGTGCTCGATTTGCGCATCATGAAGGATCGAAGTGGATCCGAGTTACGTGTTGCGTGCGGAATCTCCCTTTCTTCGCGAAGTTTCCTGGAAAATTGTCGCGAATTAAATGCCATTAAATTTACGATTTGCGCACCGACGATTACGCAGCTCGCCGTCGAAGTAAAGGGACGTGCCTGGCCGTTATCCGCGGCGGTTACCCTCTGGTAGCGTAATAACAGGGGAGGCCTCAAATTGTGGTCTCGCCCGATATCCTCCCCCGGCTAGATGGACTACTCGAGAATTTATCGGCCGAATCGATCATGGACGCCGACGACGCCCGTGACCGAATTAATTCCACTTTGCGTATTCTGTGTGAAATCTTAATTGCCGCGCGACAAATATAACGGACAAATAAGGAAAACAAAAGTTTATTTATTTAGCTCTCGGCTAAAAAATTTTGAAAGTTCGCGCGCGTCTCGGACTTTCTATTTTAATATTCAAATTTTTCCTACGAGAAATTAATAGAAAAGTGACAAATCTTTTGCACCAACCCAATATGTAGCTATAATGTGACCCACGACATTCCTTGAGACCTGACCACGTGCCTGTAGTAAATTTTCTCATTGAAGTGGCCAATAAGCTGAAGTCAGTCGCAAGCGATAATATATTAATATTTTCTAATTAACAACTAAAAATCTACAGCTGTTAAGAAAAAGGATCTTCCTTTTTCAGTTCAAACCAATGTACAAGCACACGACAAGCATCCGCCAATTTTCTTTAATTAATAATTGTATGTGTATGTATATGTAATTAATAATTGTATTGTGTATATATATTGCACAATATTGTTTATTAATATTCAAATTGTGGAACACGACGTCGAGACACTCCGAGTTAATACTGACCGTCCGATGAGAAGTAGGCGATTATGTAAATCACGGGAGCCGGCATTAAATACACCGAACACCGTGCCGCGACTGTTATTTCACGCTATTCCCCGCGACTGTCGCCTCTCGCGCAAAACGCGCAAGAAACCTCCTGTCCCTCGGTTGTTCCGCCATCGAGTTCCACAAGCGCGCGTTGTTGTTCGCGCCGTTTTTAGCGTCGCGGTAGAAACCGCACCGGTTCCTCGAACTATGCAATTACCTCGGTTTTGTCTTGCGACTTACTGCAGGGAGAATCATTGCGAAATCGAGCGGCGGCGGCGGAACAAGATGACCGCCTACATCACCGAGCTGTCCGACATGGTGCCAACCTGTTCAGCATTGGCCCGGAAACCCGACAAGCTTACTATCCTGCGGATGGCGGTAGCACACATGAAGGCACTCAGAGGTGAGTAGACTACTCGCAGGAAATCGTTTACGATTCTTTGCGAAATTAGTTGTATTTCCCAACGAGGAGCTCGAGATCGATTCTTTCTGGTGAGAGACCGGTTTACTGGAACCAACAGAAAAATCGTGTTGAATCCGACGAAATGTTACACTCGCGATATTTCCTGGAAGAAGAGAGACCAAGCTTTAGGAGCGAAACCTCGAACGTCGATAACTTGCTGCACCGCTTCGTGAGGATCGTAAGCCACTTGAATTTAACTTGAGCCTCGAACCTCGGGCTCACATGCGCCACAAAGTTGGCAAGTGTCGACGAGAAACTCCTCTCGCCCTTTCTCCTTCTTTTCTTTTTAGTAGGTTACGTTTGCCCCATATTTCTTAAAGTTTCCTGTTGCACTTAACCGGCGTTTAGATTCACTCTCAACGATGACGAATATTATCGGCGCATACGTCAGAATAACTTTAAGTCGTTAAAATTTCATTTGAGGAAATTATTTCCCCTCCCAAAGCTTCATCGTTATTTACCGCCTCAATTAACAATCTTGTTATATACACGCAGGATTTGTTTTTTATTTTAGCGAGATTCATAGAACTGGCAAAATTTTTGTCGTAATTTCATTTATGATATCATAAAGATTGGTCCTGCTCCTCTTTTCAATTAAAAAAAGAAATTATGAGTAAAAAATTTCAATAAAATATGGAAGAACACTCACATGAAGACATCACTTACTCTGACTCGTCGATTTTGATAAAAGTTTTTTAAAGTAGTCTTCATCCAATGAAGTTTTATTGCAAATTCATTCAATGCACTTCTCGGAATTTGCAAACAAAAGAATTCATAAAGCTTAACGCAAACGCGCATTACAAATATTCATATTGTTTAATTAATCTTAGTGATTTGTAGAGGCATAGTTAGAAACACTTAGATTCTTACGCTGAAAACTCGAGTCCCTCCCTTATTGATTTTTTTTCTTTTTTATATATATATAGGGAAGTGTTAAATATATTTTGTAAATATAATTGCTACTTTATAATTTATTGCTATTTCTTCGTAAAATATCAAAATCTAAATTATTGTGGAAAAAAGACAAAGAAAACAATTGTATTAATAATATAATTAATAATTAACAATTATAATAGCAATAAATTAGAAAATAGCGATGGTATTTATAAAATTTTATACTATTTTTTATAATATTTTTGAATAGTATTTTTTATAATATTTTTTTTAATACTATTTTTAATATTTAATACTTCTATATATATAAAGAAAAAGAGAAAAAAATCTGTAAGATACGGGACTCGAACTCGAGTCTTCAGCGTGAGTCTAAGTGCTTCCCGCTAGTCAAAAATGGAGCGGTCGTTAGTTTGCTAGAAGCTGATTATGGCACGCTTGGAACGTTCAGCAAGAGTCCAGGTGTGCCATAATCGGCTTCCTGCAAGCTACGCGACCACTTCATATTCGACTGCGCGCAGTACCGCTACAAATCACTGGAATCAGTTGAATAATATAAATATTTGCGCGTATGTTTGCGTTAAACTTTATAAATATTTTTCTCTGCAAATTCGAAGAAATACATCGAATGGCTTTGCAAGGAAACTTCTTTGGAGTACTCATAAAAAAGTTATCAAAATCGATAAGTCAGAAGGAATCAGATATCCCTTTGTTAAAGAAAAAGACATGGCAACTACATAAGTAACAATTATACGAGTTTTGTAAACTATTAATATGCTATATTATTCAACAACAATTTTGTAGCTTAAACGCTATTGTTACTTTTCATATTCTTAGTTTACCACATTTTGTTGCTTATTCTTATTTAATTAGATATCGTCTCCATTTTATTCACTCAAAGCGCTACTGTTCATTCTAGAGAATTTTTCTTTTTATATGCAATGAATTTCTCTCTTTCTCTTCTTTTTCTCTCAATCGTCCCCACGGACATCGTCGATAAGAAGCAGTGCAGTTTTCGACGCGAGACGTGACGATTAAGTTGCAGCGATGTTTGAGTTATCCGGCACGAGCGGTGCAATAACTTGGGCGCAACGCGATCTCGGAGCCTTAACACGAAGGCGATTAAATTACCGTCGGAGTCACCCCTCCCCCCTGTGTGGTACGTCGTTACGTACCTGCGACTATCGATTATGCGGAAAATACTCGAGCCGAGGCTCTCCTGGCCGAGCGGCTAGATTTCTGTCGGCAGAGGCGAGAATTTACGAGCGCTTTTAGGATACTTACACGCTGACTTCCTTGTTAGATCGAAGACGAAACAAGAACGATATTCCGCGAGGTTCGCTTCGGGAACCCATATCTCTCTTGAATACGCAAATATCGTAGTTTTCAAACTGTTAAAGAAAAGACTATTAAAGAGCATGCAAAATTTTAATTGAGTCACGATTGTTTTTATCTTCTAAAAATTATATAGAAGATGAAGTGAAATTCTAATGGTCACGAGTTTTTGTCATACTTAACCCTAAATTTCAGTTGACTATTTTTAATCGTCCATTAACTTGATCAGAATTAGTGAAAATGACCCTTATACATAAGAAGTACATAATGACATATAGAAGTCTCAATCTCTCACCGCAAATAAAACTTTAGATTTATAGCGAGACGACATTGAAATTCGATGTATCGGAAGTCGCTATTTTGTATTGTCGCTATGGTGATATGGTAAAGTTAACTTCCAATAATTACCCTAAGTAAGAATATTCACCTCGCAATTAACTTGAATTAACTTGAGGTTATAATGCTGCACATAAAAAATAGTATTTCATCAAGACATGAGCGATAAGACAGACGCATGCAACCCCATTGGGACATTCATTAATGTAGGGAGATTCGTGCATTCGAAAGGCGGTCGACCGGTCAGCCGGCCGAAGGGATGGGGATGCGTCGGGATGACCGTAACGTCGCGGCAAGTTTCGAGAGCGGTCATATCGAATGCAGCAGACGCGATATATGCTTCCGGTGGATACGATGGGCGGAGTTGTGTGTCCGTGTCCTGTCTGTCCCTTTAGCCGGGCACCCATCTCCACTATCTGAGCCTGTCCCGATGAACGCGCGCGCGCGCGCGCACGCGTTGCGTATTTTGAGCGCGTGTATGCGTGCGCCAGCTTCTGCCGTGATTCCATCTAGGTATTGGTGGTACGTCGCGTTGTTTATAGCCGCTTCTCCTCTTTCCCGACGAGGTGGGCCGCCGCATACAAATCGCTCTTGTAGGAGGAGAGGACTTCTCTCCTCTCTCACCTGCTTGACAAGAGGGGGGGAGAGCGGACGCGCTCGTTTACGCGCGTGAACACCCCGTGCGTGCGCTATGTGGAAGAGTATTATGCGGTCGCGACGAGCGCTACGTATGTTACCGAGCGCCGACGTATTTTTACGGCCCCGGACGCCGGCGATAAAAATTGCTAGAAGGCTGAAGAACCGTTTGGCGAACGTCGATAGGAAACGCCGCTCTGTCGCGAGGACGAGGTGCTACTTTATGCTCGTTGTGCACCCAGCGCAATGTTACTCTCTAAATTTCTTAAAGTAAAATTTTACTCGAGAAGTAGAGTGACCACCGAGTCAAGTGAACGATCTGTCGCTTTTGTAGAATTAATTTTTCACTCTGCATTATCGAATAAATATTTCCACTCCAAATTGAAGAGTAAATCTGATGTGTGTATTCGCTAGAACAATTTAGACACAATGAAGTTGAGAGTTTATCAAACTGTTAAAAATGGTCAGTCATTTCCGAAAGGAATTTACTTACTACAATTAATTGCAATAAAAATAATAATTAAAATAAATCTTAATATGGCAGATTGAAATATTATTTGCGATTTTAATTACCCGTAAATTAGTGGAATGAGGATTTTTGGTTCATGCGTCAAAAAATATTATGGTTAGTGGATAAGGTTTAAACATAGTTGTGAATCATTTCAGTTAGTGGATATAGAATATTCACTTTAATTGATTGAAATTAGAGCCTCTCAAGTAAAAGTCTAAATACGTTTTATTTTTTATAAAACATAGCGTTTATTTTACTTATATTAAAAGTGTCTATTCAGCTCAAGTTAATCTCCAAAGAAACCTTCCTAATACATTTATTTGCAATACTATTGGCAAAAATAGATCTCTTTATTTTTTAAAAAATTTATTCTTAAATTCAAAATTCACCTTCCATTATAAAATAGCGATTTCTTCTTCAGACGAGTCTCTAGAATTTTATAGAATCTCTTTATTATAATCCTCACACACATTCACAATTTTTTTTAAATAAAAAACTGTATCAATTAGTAAAAAAGTCGGCGGTTTCTAGACTCTTACTATAGAGACTTCCGGTATCGATAGGCCTGTAGGCCTATTCTGTAACTTTTAATGACAGTGATGTTATCGTTACGTTATAATACATAGTAGAAGAATTGCGCAACGACACATCATGCTAGTGATATTGTCGTTAAGAAGTTACAGAATAGATTTACTGGACAGCGTCGATGATATCCATAGCATAGAATTGTCAACACCACCGCCATCGATGAAAGCGTTGTCCAATGTTAGATCGCAGTGCGTTAGAATGCATAGGAATGGCAATTAAACAGCCATCGTGCATGGAGTTGCATACTAAAAACGCAGAATGTGTCGAAGAGCGCGTATGTATCGATTTCATGACCGATTGTTCTTTTTTCTCTTTTTGTTTATTAATTTTACCATTCCCCTCCGAGCGGGCGTTTGATCGGAAAATCACGTTAATAATTGAGGATTCTAATAATCGACGATCCTCGCTAACGATGACCGCTTCTCACTCTCGGAAGACGTCGAAGTAACCACGACGGTGTAACGACCGACCGCGAGACGTACACCACGCGGAAAGTAATGGTAACGAAGGTCACCGAGGGTCTTCCATAGATCTTGTTTGGAAGTCGTTAAAGTACCTCTTCCCGGAATTTCTCCGTATATCGGGGTAAAGATCGCATCGCGCGAGAGTCTCTCTCTCTCTCCCCCTCCTTCTCTTTCTTTTTCTCCCTCTTTCTCTCTTTCTACGGGATCCGCCGTCCGCTTTGCAATTCCGATCTTGCACCTCGATAGTTACCTCCGCTGGCGAGGTGCCCCGTTCTCATTTTTGGTACCACACCATAGCACTCCTCGCGTCTCTGGAGGTCAACTTCGGAAAACGACTTCGAGTAGCTTTGCATTCGAGGGAGAACGTTATTCGATTTCGGGCAGGATACAACTTGGAAATTTGCACACACATGCACAGCATACTTTCCGAGAGACTATTTATTAATTTTGTGAACACACTTTATATATAACTTCTTAAGTAATGTGTGTCCGAAAAAGTTTCTTGGTAAAATATTAAATTCCCTTTGAATTATTTAAACTATTGTATCTTTTTCTAATTCATAGATAATGTACAAATTAGATATATTCTATTTTTCCAAAATTCTTCAAAGAAAATATCAGTAAAGAGAGAAAAAATCTAGATATATCTATTAAAAAAAAAGCGCTCGGAGGAAAATCGCACTTCGAAAACCATCTTTGTTTTTTACTTCAAAGATATTCAAAGTGGTAATAGTTATTGACTCATTCTATATACGACTTATATTAAATCCAGATCAGAGATATTCAAATTATTCTCTATAAATCCCCCAATTTCGCCTAAACGATAAACTTTGTTATAATGAAACGGAAACTATTGTTGCAGGTACTGGTAATACTGCAACTGACAATGCTTACAAGCCATCTTTTCTCACAGATCAAGAGTTGAAACACTTGATCCTTGAAGCAGCCGATGGCTTCTTATTCGTTGTAAGTTGCGATAGTGGCAGGATCATCTACGTGTCTGACTCGGTCGCGCCAGTGTTAAACTACACTCAGAGCGACTGGTATGGCAGCAGCCTCTACTCCCAAGTCCACCCCGACGACACCGAGAAGGTACGAGAGCAGTTAAGCGCTTCGGAACCTCAGCACGGTGGTCGAGTGTTAGATCTCAAGACAGGAACGGTGAAAAAAGAAGGCCAGTGTAAGTAAAAAACGAAAACTATAAGAACAATAACGTCAAGCCACTGAAGAAAAAACTTGAATAAAAAATATTTGTAAATTTTATAAAATAGCCACATAGTGTACGGAAATTTGGTAGGAACTTTACTAATCGATTTGTTACATCTTTTATGAGTAGCTCATATGACATCTTTTTTATCATACAAAATGACAAAATAGAAATACGGAAAAAATATGAACAAAATTATCAAAATTTGCTCCAAAAAAATGTATCATGTATAATGTACCGCAAAAATCTGAGTGTAACTTTAGTAAATCTCTTAATCTGCATTAATATGACAAAAAATTGCATTATTATTTGATATAAATTTAATGACAATACGGTATATATTTGCTTCATAAATATAATTTAAAGAATTGTAAAGTTTCCATCATTGATTATTTCACGTAATAATCATGAAGGTATCTAGCTAAATATTTTTTACAAAAATATAAAAATATATAGAAAATATAAAGATCTCTATAAAAAGATTTTTATAAAGATTATTATCGTTCTTTGTTTGGAATGAAAAGAAAACTTAGAATCCTCATATATAAGTGATATATATTCTCATATATAAGTTCAATTATGAATCTTTGCGAAGCACTCACACCCCTTATTCTTATCTGTTATGCCTCTGTCCAAGTCCCGTGAAATAGTCGCAAGCACTCGTGCTGAGGAAAGTATTCCCAATGAAGTCTTTTAATTTTCCTTTCCGATCACAGCCTCAATGCGACTATGCATGGGTTCGAGACGGGGCTTCATCTGCCGCATGAAGGTCGGCAATCTTCAGACGACAGGAGACATGGCCGCCGCGCACGGTCTCCACCGTATGAAGCAGAGGAACTCGCTGGGCCCGCCAGCACGGGACGGTCAAAATTACGCGGTGGTGCACTGCACCGGCTACATCAAGAACTGGCCACCCACCGGTGAGTTTCGTACAGGTTCCAACGTCTAAGTCGAGAGAGCGTACGAGAACGCGAAAGCGTATATGTTACGTACGTCGACGACGTTCACCACCACTGCTAACGGTCTCTCGGGCGCGATGCACAGCGCCGGCTTTCTATTTTAAAGCGGGGGAGACGTCGCGCCCGAAGAATACGAACGAACCTGTGTTCCTGGAACACGGCGGAACGCGTATGCTACGTGTGTACTGTAAATTAAGAACCGCCACGGAGCCGACAGGCGACGACGGCGGAACCGACGATATTCCCAGGGATGAATGGGCTTGCGTCTAAATCTTCCGACCCTGCGTTTTTAATTAAATACACTAATCTCTTTAATAGTATCTATTTCCACGTGCGCGCGCGATGTCGACCGATGCGGTAAAAAAAGTCGTTCACCCGTACGAGCATCCGTAGAATTAAGAGAATTAAAAAGTATTACGTGTACAAGACGTCGCGGAATTATCCCTTTCAATTACGGTCTCTGGAGATGTTATTGCATTATTCTGGTAGCTTTACTCATTACTATCAGTCGAAAGAATTAATCTCATGAAGTATTTCTCGTTACTCGGCTTATTCATTTGCATATTTCAATGAGAAGTCGACGAAAGAATATATTTTGCATGCTGCTTTTTTTCACGTTGTTATATACATTCTCCAGATTGAAATAGTACTCGTCGTCGTCAAAATACTCGTTTAACCACTGAATGGAGAGTCGTCGCCATTAAGACTCGTGGCGTAGTAGCCATCGGCTTTTAACATATTCGTTCAATATTCATGATCACGTGCGTAGCTCTCTTTTTGTTCCATCGATAGCTTTGTGACAGCCGCTGGTTAATTCAATCTTATCGGTTACGTGAAAAAGATACGCTTCCTCCGCGCATCCGACATATCAGAGATAGTACAGTCGACTTCTTTGTAGAATCAATATACGTACAGACAAAAGGCGTTATGGATGCTTTAACATTTACGAGATATTCTGGAGCAGACACATTCGTCTCTAGAAATGCGCATGATTACAGATTATCCGAGAAAATAGCAAGGATGTTTCAACGGGTGAGTCTCTGTTAGACATCCGCTCATTGAAATATCATTGCCGTTCCTTCAAATAATCTATAATCATGGTATACGCGTTTCTAAAAACAAATATGTTTGCTTCAGAATATCTAGTAACACGATCTAGTAAATATTAAGGCATCCATGATGCCGTCTGTATCAACATTAATCTGGTAAATTCAATAAATGTTCAGGAAACCAGTCAGAAACCTGAAATGCGATAAACAGAATTCAATTTGACTAACCAGCTTCTGTTTCACGACGGTAACATCGAGTTAGCTGGAAATTTCTCTTACAAATGTAAACCACAGTTCTGCCCAATAAATCCATCCACAGAACAGGGAAACTCATCCAAAGAAAATATTAAATATATACATATTTTCGCTCTTAATGATTCTAAGCACCTTTCTTCAGGGCAAGAAACATCATCGTGCTTTGTCCTCAGGACACACGATTGACACCTAGAACATACCAATCCCGTTTCTCGAACTCAAAACATCAAAAGTTACTGATCTCTTCCCAGCACAATCCCAATATTCTTTCATATCCTTTGTCTATCTCCTGGTCCTTCCAATTCCTACTGATGATTGAGATATCGGCACGTTTGCATCGGGAATGTTGCTCCCGATAAAAATGGTTCGATACTTATTATTAGAGGCTTGCAAATGTTCGAATTGTTGGTGATTTCATTAGTTAAAAAAATAAGTCATCTTGTAAATATGATAATCAGACTATTATCTGAAAAGTGGCGTAAAATTACCATTTCTGCCATCAGTCTCACTTCTTCTAATAATAATGGTAGATACTTTGATTGACAACAACCATATGCTATTTCATTATTATTACTAATATATGTGCAAGTAGCTTATAAAATAGAGATAAAAGAAATATATAGCTAAAAATCCGGTAAACTTCTGCACGTCTCTAATCAAATAAGTTCTTAGCGCTAATGTATGTAAGATACTGTAGTATGTAAGATACTTCTCTAGCCGATCAACGGGAAATCATGGACTGATTCATGATTTTACGCTGTAGGTGATTTTGTTCCCCCATGTGTACCAGGTGTGGGTCTAGGTGACAGAGGGGGCGTTCAAGCTGGACCAGACGGCGTGGTCACGGATGAGAATGCCTCCACGCATTGCTGCCTTGTCGCCATTGGGCGATTACAGGTCACTAGCACACCAAATAGTAGCGACTTAACAGGTTCTAATAGCAATAGTGGTAAGTGCATATTTCATTATATTTTATTAACAGCTTAATCGTGCAAACTTGCAGATTGATAAAATTTATAACACATTTGATATGCAGCAAGTGATATTTGTAATAAATTTGTCTTTATGTTCGTTGTAGAATTTATATCACGTCATTCTGCGGAAGGTAAATTTACTTTCGTGGACCAAAGAGTCGGTGGAATTTTGGGTTACTCTCCATCGGAGCTCTTAGGTCATCCATGCTACGATTTCTTCCATCCGGAGGATCTGGCGCACATGCGAGAAAGCTTTGAACAAGGTAATACACCGCATCATTCATCGTTTTCGAGATTTTGCCATCAATCAATGTAGTTAATAGGCGTCTCTCGCTTTTCAGTGTTAAAACTGAAGGGACAAGTCGTATCTGCAATGTACAGATTTCGAGCCAAGAATCGCGACTGGGTGTGGTTGAGGACGTCGGCATTTGCGTTTCTAAATCCGTTCAACGAGGACATTGAATATATCGTTTGCACCAACACGCACACGAAGTAAGAATAAAGCTATATTGCGCTAAATTGACTTTTGTCATTTATATTCGATTCTAAATTATTTGCTACGAGTCATCATGTTTCACTGAATTAAATATATCTGTGTGCCTTTCAGACCAGGGTATCATCCCAGTAACGACGGTCAGACGGAGAGCGAAGCAGTACCTGCATATGGACAACCTGGTTTAGATTACTCTCTTCAAAGACATCCCACCAGGGATCCATTGTACTCTGCACATCACATGATGCAGCACCCGGCGACCGTAGCTACAGCCAGTAAGACGATCGCTATAGAAAACGTACTCTTTACCATATACATGTGAGCATTAAATACGTGTACTTTTGCAGGTCCACAACAACCAAGGCCGTCCAGTACACAGAACGTATATCAGAGTTATGAGACGACGCACTCGCCGATAGCTTATGGCTCACCCGGACAGCAAAGCGCATCTTCGTCAGTCTTAAGTAGGATTCAAAAGCCAGCTAATACATCCCCAACCCCGGTACAACAAGCGTGGACGATCGGAAGACAGGTATCCGAATCTCCGTTAACGCTTCAATATCCATTGAATACCAATGGTATTAACTGGTTACTTAATTATATGGATTATTATAACAAACAGATATGACCCTTCATATTCAGGTTTTCTAAGATATTCGAACAAATATCGAATCCAGATATAAATTTGCAATAAAATCCGCCAAGTATATGCATTCCACACCAAATCCCTCTAAAAACTTTTACTATAAATATTTATTCGCGATTTGACAACCTAACCTGAAAATATCTATATCTATTTATGTATTTGAATAACGATTACTTATAACATCTCTGATATTAAATTGATATATCTTTTATTTATGTTTTTTTTTTATTTGAATTTTGATAATTCCTTTAATTTCCTTCATTATGATTGTGAGAAATAACTCTTTGGAGTTTGATTGATATCATAAGTCAATCTTCTCTAGAAGATACAGTTTCTTTTCCCACGACCTAATATCACAACTATGGTACTGTCATAGATTTGGAATCGAAAAAACAAATCTTTTAGAATTAAAACCGATTTTTTATTTGAAAAATACTTAGTGAACATAGGTTGAAAAATCAACTCGATAATATTATTTTATCATCTTACTTCAATTCGGGATATTAGACATTTGTGATTTCTATGATTGCATATCTGTTCAGTGTTACACAGTTATGAAAGAACGGAAAAGTTCATACATCAGAACATAAGAACAGAAAGACTCCTGTAGAAGGTTTCTACTCCCTTTTTTATACAGAACCTATTATTTTGTAGCAATACCGACTATCTGCAAACTTGTTTTCTTTGTGTTCGACTTCCAGCAGGTCAAATGTTAACCACTAGGTTCACTTTAATCGAACAGCAGATAACATTCGAAATATACGTGTCGTGAATAAGCAGAATATAATTTGGAGAAATGCCGGAACTAAGTGATAGTGCAGAATCTATTCCGGAATTAATAAAGAAATAGGAAAACATTAAATTGAAGGATGATAACAGGAATTGTTGTCATCTTTGCATAATAATATTGTGTTTCCAATATTCTACTATTTTTATGATAATTATCTCACTCAAAAATCTGTAAACTTTTTGAGAAGGATTTCATAAAAAGATTTAAAGAACGAATAATGTCTAATACGTTCCACGTCGAACTGATTTTATGTGACTTGTCTACACTGCACGGGTTTCACATTGTATTATAAGCCAAATTTTACTCGAAAAAAGAAAATAATATATGTATATCCTATAATAATTTTATTGTAAAACTGTTTCGTATGATTATGTTTCGTATTAAAGCTAAAAAACGGCTTCAATGAAAATTTCAGGAAACAGTTAATCTCCAGTGCCACACGCAACACGTATCAATGCGAAAATAAAAATTTTGGAAAATAATTTGGGATTTTTTTAATTGCATAACAAAATTAATAATTACAAAATAATTTTTTGTAAAAAATAATTTATAAAAAATTTCGACGAAATTCAGAAGGGCAGATTCTAGTACAATTCTTTATTAGTCAAATATTTCTTGTGCATCGTCTTTTAGGTGAATTCCCACCGAGAAGGGTGGTTCAAAATAACAAAATGTCCGAAACGTTTGATACTTTTTAAAAGTGTCCATTTAAAGACCCACTTCTTATCTTACTTATATATTAAGAGAGTTATGCAAATTATATCTTACGTCGACTCTCGCTGACTTTTTTCGCCTTCGGTTAAATCTTACTTCGTTCCAACAGCAAGCGGTGACAGAGGGCTACCAGTATAGTAGTCAATTAAGTCCATCGAGATCACCGAGCGGGCCGACATACACGCAACTCAGTAGTGGCGCTAGGACACCAGCTACTCAACAATATCACACAGTCACAACAGTGCCTAATAATCCTGGTAAATTTTCTGATGCTTGCTGTGTTCTCTTTTCTTCTTTTACTCTTCCGTGAGATCACAAATACTCGAACTTTGCGTTGCGTTGCTCAGGTATGTGGGGCTGGCAAAGCCAACAGCATCAGACACCGCAGTCCGATGGACAGGCCGGTGCTCAAGTGGCTACGCAGGCGCAACCACCGCATCCTGGGCAGGCCGGACCCGGCACGCAGCCACAGGAATTGTCTGATATGCTGCAGATGCTGCAGGATCAGGGTGGTTCGTCCGGATTCGAGGAACTCAACATGTTCACTACTACCTTTGAGTAGCAATGGAACAAACGATACGCTGGAAAGCAGTTTCCATGCTAAAGGAATTCACCGCTTTCCCCAACTGTTCGTTACTTTGTTACCATTTTAAGTTAGCCCCGTATTTCTGGTGTGTGTGCCGTATTTTTATTAAATATGAAATACGTAAGCCCCAGTTCAGTAAATTGAAGTACATTCCAAAGGATGTAAAGAATTATTAATATTGTGGAATGCGGGAGTGATGCTTTCATTTTCTCGAATACCGCACAAGACTGTGCAGTGTCGTCGCACAAAAACACTTTGTTCATCCTTATTCTATCCGATCCGCTTTCTCACTTTCTCGATGACTTTCACGCAGCGACGTAGAGACTTTGAACGTATCTGTCTCCAACATGAACGGGATAGATGGCGAGCTGCCACCACTTTTCGTAACAAATTCACACCGTAATAATTGCAAAATAGAAAGGAATCAATACTTAGCTTTCCATTCATTTTTCTTAAGTCGCAAAAATTGAATTGGAATTCAGAGTTTGACAATTTTATAACGAAATATTTTCAGCATACATGCGGTAATCGCCTCAAAATTAGTATATACCAGCAGCGAGCTATTTCATCGAACGCATAGGTAACTAAATTAACGACATGCAAAAACTGCAACAATAGTGACATGCTATAAATTTGTATATATATATATTAACAGATGGCGCTATGATCACTATTAGATTTTTAATCAGATATTTGTGATGATTTATACAATGTTTGATTTTGCTTTTATACAATTGATTTGTGGAACAAACAACGTACCAGATAATGGTATTATTAAGCAACATGATTTATTCACATGATCCAACGTGAAACAAAAAATTTTTACTAAAATATATATTACGAACGTGCATCAATCTAACATATATTGCGTCGGTGCAAATTTAAGGTGTACATGTTATATCCTTCGTTTCTTGAAAACATTAACATTAGACGAATAAAATTAATCACACAAATATTAAGAGTTTTCTTATCATTTAAGCTATCGAAATATATAATCTCCGTGCGATGACAATCGCTTGTAAAAAAAGATAAATTATACAGTGCACATCGAGAGATCAGCATCGTGAAAAAAGGGCAACAGTGAATGTCGGACTAATTTGATTTCAATAATCTTGAAATAACTTCGAGACTTTTCAACTTAACACGTCATTTTTATAAATGAATGAGAACATTGCAAATGCCCATCATTTAGCTTTATTATATGTCATTCCATATCTGGATAAATCTAAAATCATATCTGAATAAATTATTACAGAAACCATATATATGTATATTGTATATATGAAAATTAAAATTAGTTAAAAAATTCTGTTATTCATTTGGATGTCTGAAGTTCGCAAAAAGCTTTTTTTGAATTTTTTATTTACGACTCAAAAATTTTTGACGACTTGAAATTGAAGACTTGATATTTATGTCTCGAAATTATCTCTCAAAAGTGGTGGATACTCCATATAAATATATTAATGAACGATGCAATATATGTGCGCGCAATGGTATCTGTTATTGAACTGGGGCCTAATACGGTACAAACGTAACAACGCGATAATAGAAACAAAATCCAAAAAGTGCGGGGCTAATTTCATATAAGTCTGTTTGTTCAGTATCACTTTGGGGATTAAATCTTGGGCATCTGCACCTTCATCACATCATCCGATTACGAAGAAACAAGAAGAGAGAGTGAAAGAAAAAGAAAATATGAGAGAAAAGGGAGAAAGGATTCAAGGAGGTTTTCTATCTTGGCGACTCGAAAAATGTTCCACATTTCACACATTTTACAATAGCTCGTTTCAATGTCATAAAGTAAAACTTCAGTTTCCTCGCTAAGCCACATAGTAACACTGTTAAATTTTTTATTAATTTTGCTCAATCTGTCTTTGTTAGCTGCCATTCGATATAGCAGCTTCGTAAATTTTACGAAATATTCAATGAAATTTGAAATGTGTATTGTCAGGACATTACATCTCTCAAAGATGAGAAACAAAAAAATTGATTTGCTTGACCTACCAAAGTAGAAGACCTCTTTAGTAATTTAGCACTGCTAATATATAGACTTTATGCAAAAGATCGCACTGGGATTAGGAAAGCCTAGTCTGCCGGGTTATTTACATATTACGCATGTATATGTATGGAAGAGAAGTTTGGTTCACTGTCGTGGGTATCAGGGCGCCGGTATGATCGTTAGATTGTACAAAAATTCATTTGCACGACGTAGTTGTCGAAATTGTATGGTTTCACTGTGGAAGTGCCATTAAAACATCAAAGTGCGACTGTACCTTCATGACAAGAGCGTTCACCGTGAATTAGGGCTCGAAATAATTATAATACGCACAGATGGGTTATCCCATGCCGTTCGACGCAAAGCATTCAAGCGAGCATTTCACACTTGTACTCTATGAGAGTGTAAGTTTTGTACTCTGTGACACTGTAAACGCGATAACCGGTCAGGAGATTGCAATTGACATGCGAACTGCGCTCCGTTTTTGTCAGTCCGACAACTTTTCAACATTTCGATGAATTTGGAGTCCAACCTTAACGAAAATATCTCTCAACAGGAGACTGGCTCCAAATCCGTCGAATCCGTTTGAGGCGGTGAAAATAAAACGAAATAAGATGTATACATATGTATGCGGTATTTGAAAGTACTGCGTTGTTTATTAATCGTTTGAGTGCCGATAGAGGTCACAAAAATATATGATCCAAAATGCCACGCAGAGCAGTAGGCCTAATGCGTTCAAAAATTACATGATTCTCAAAATCGCTAAGTAACAATTGCGTAACAACGTCAAGTGAAACTGGAGAAGGGGTTGTGCGATAGCGCCTGTTACAAATCTTCTCATGCGGGGACAAGAGGAGCGCGACAGCACTCGTCCGCATTTTTGGATGTAAAACGAAAGAGCGCGATCGCGCTCCTTGGCACTCAAACGATTCAGTTGGATAATTAGCGTGAGTAACGTGTAAACGCCTAAAGATATGGATATTTCGCGGCCTTGCTGCGGGTGTTCTAAAAATATGTAGCATCCGATCTGTGCTTATTATACAAGTCAAACGGCGTAATTTTAATTTACATGACAATTTCAATGGTATCATGCGATTCAGTGAATATTTAACGACAAAACGGGAGGCTAAAAATAACGGAGATGTAAACTCTAAACGATATAAGAAAAAGTATTTTTAAAAAAAGGTTCTCAATCAAATCTACATAAATCACGGTAATTTTAATACCAGCTTATCATTAGATTCGTAAGATTAGCTTAATTATTTTAATTTAGATCTTTGTAATTATAAACAGTGCAATCATAAAAACGACACGCGACAAGAAATCGTTCGAAACATTGACAATGTACAAAAACTACTTGTGTAATCCACCTTTGCTTCTCTGTGCAAGACACCGTTTTTAGATATTCTTAAAGAAAAAAATATATAGATAATGTTACACATACGAATAATTGCATTTATAAGTAACCACGTGTGACTTAGCGCGTTTGTACGTGTTTTAGCAAATTTCGACGAGCACATGAAAACGAAATTGCAGCATATCATGATGAATTGGGAACATTTTTCACTAATATATGAACTATACATATATACGCACGATTCATTTTTTTTAAATTATCCTACATCGTGGCAGAAGTAGTACCATCACTTTGACAATAACTAGCATATTGGGCCTGTACGCGGGCATCAATATCTGTACATCGATATTAAGTACGGATTTGTCAGAGAGGGAGAGTGCGAGAGAGAAAGATCACTTTATAAATCCCTCATCCATTGTTATATATTCCTTTGCACAATATTCACCCATATTATAACTCCGCAAGAAGAAGAAAAATGGCAACATCATTTAAAAAATGCAGGGTGTTGCCCTATAAATGCATACATATATCTCTCACGCAATAAAGCTGTAAGAAAATACTTTTAGTGTACGTACATATGTATCATACACATTACGTGTTTACGTTGCTACGATTTCTTTAATTACAATATTCTCTTTACATTCCTTGTGATTACGACAATAGAAGCATATTATAGCTAGAATATTTTAAGATAATAGAAACAATGGAATCAAAAGTTCTCAGTATTACAAGAAAACTGTATTTACAAAAGTCATTATAACTCCAACTTAAAAACTACAATTTCAGTTTTGCAGCCGACATTGCATTCTTATCTTTTTTCTTGGACATAGAACCAGCTTTCACTTTGATATGGCTTTTGACTTCGTCTTGCAACTGCGTGAAGAATGCAGTAGAGGACTTGATTTTCTGGCTCGTTTCGTTTGATTTCGTGATGTTTCTGTCTTTAGTCAGCTTTTTCAGTAACGCGGCCTTCTCTTTTTTGTACTTTTTAGCGGTTCCAGGCTTTAGCATTTTTGACTTCTCTTTTTCTTCCATCACTTTCTGTTTAGCTCGTTGTTTCGATTTCTTCTGTCTTCTTTCGCGCTTCTTGTCGGTTTTCGTCCTCTCCGATTTACCGATAACATTGCCACGCGATTTAGCTAGAAATAAAGATTACAGTCAAGAACATCAAACCCCAACAAACTGTCACATACTAGATACATATATGTAATACAATGTATACCTTTAACTTCTTCAGGTGCTAACATAGCAGCATCACTAGTCGCAACAGGCGCCACTTCCTCCATATTTACAGCTGGTACATTGCTGATGATCTTTATCTCAGGTTTAATCTGAAACAGGTATTACAGTAGACATTTAGTAGACATTGAAGACCTTAAAGAATTGATACGTAAGTGTTAATTTTGAGAATATTGTCTATCTTACCCGCTTAGGAGTATAATGATAATTGGACAACGCATCTAACTTTGCTATCAGTTTACGCATTTCTCTCCGGATTTCGTAATGCAACTCCGGCATCACTTCCTTCTGTTCCTCGTTTTCTGGATCTAAGGCTCGTTTTTGCTTTAGATATTCGTCCTCATAGATTTGTGAAAGACTCTTCGTGCTCTTCTGTTGATCCATCACCAACGTCTGCTTATATTCCAATGGGGTCTCGACTGGTTTAAACTTTTTTTCAACGTCATCCCAGGCCTTGTCCTTGATCCGCTGTTTAATTATATCTTCCAGCTTTAATGTGGTCTCTTCGGTGATCACAGGAGCAGGCCTCGTAGTGACATCAAACTCCACAAACTCCTCCAGTAAGGAATTCTGCGGACGATTAGGGCCGCTTACTTCACCCTTCAATTGCCACGGTTTCTCGCCGACAGCTTCTTCCTCCAATTCCCGAATTCTCATCAGCAGCCTTTCCTGACGAGACTCTAAAGAAGACTTTGGCCCTGTCTCTTCTAGATCTTCTTTGTCTTCTTTTCCATGTTCTATTGCATTCTCCAAACTGTCAGTCTCATCAGAGTCATTGGTGAGGTTGAATTTCACCTTTTTACTTGATGGCTCTTCTTCTTCCTCTTCACTATCTGATTCTTCATCTTCATTATCACATCCTTCTTCCTCAGACTCCTCAGTTAAAGGACTATCAAAAAAGTCGACATACTTCAAATATTTCTCCTCATCTTCCTCTTCGGAGAAATCATTAAATAAATCCACCGATTCGTCATCAGATGCATTATCCTTCCTTCCCTGCTTCTCTTTTCTCTCTTCTTTGGTTAAGTACTCATCTAATTCTTGTAACCGGAAGAATTTATCATCCACAATAGAGGATTTTTTCTTTTTCTTCTTTGCATCAAGTTTTTTTTTCTTTAAGATACTTTTAGTCCCTTTAAGATACTTTATATCTCTATCATCTGATTTTCTATCATCAGACAAGTCTTCATTACTATGGTTTAAATTATCATGCTTAAGTTGAATTGCTTCAGGTTTTGTAGAAGTCACTGGAACTATAAAATTTTTAACGCCAGTCAGAACTTTTGAGATCCCTTCTGAAAAATGCATTAATTCGCTTTTGTTTTGCAACTCTAGTTGCTGCCAAATTTGTTCATAATCAAAGTTTTTTATAATTAATTCAGGCAATGCATCTGATTTTCTGCAAGATTGCTCCTTTGTGAAATCGTAAAGACGTTTTGTAATGTCCTTTAGATTCTCAACATTTTGTTCACTAAAATTGTACAATGCATTAGTAAAAATATATAAATATTTGCAGTCTTATAAATTATACACAAAATTGTCTACTTACACACATTTTTTTATTAATAAGGCTAATAAAATTATAAAATTTATTTTACTATCTTTACTACATTCTTTAATTTTATTATTTTACAGTATAATTAAAAGTATATACTATTATTTTGATATTTAATAGGTTATATAAAATATTATTAAATCATGTAGATATTACTCACGTTTGTAAGTGTTTCAAGGACACAACGTTGTCGAGTGTAGAAATTACACTATCAATAATACCGACACTAGCCATTTTGCACTAAATTTTCAGTAAAACTTATTAAATATAAAATGTGACAAATAACAGGTTATGTATCTTTTAACAATCATGTGCGCTAGGGCAGTGTAAAGTCAATAGAGAGTTTTCGCAATACCGTTTTTCAGATATAGAAGGGCTTTGACTAATATGTATAGACTGTCAGTTGGCATTGGCCGCGTTCAGTAGAACAAGTGATCAGTAAGCGCTCAGGGAGCTCTTGTATATGATTTGGCATTTTCTTTTAGATCTCCAACTATACTCCAATCAGATGCAAGAGCTCACTGAGCGCTTACTGATCACTTGTTCTACTGAACGCGGCCATTCTCATGCTGTAATCAACATGAAGAGCGCCTTCAAGGGATAAGTGGTGAATTACAGTATTTCGATGACATATTGTGAACTCACGTATAGTAGCAAACCTATATCTTTACCAATTCAATGCTTGATATTCGTTAATTTTTACATATATATCAAAGAACTGGACATATTAGAGAACCACAAATATATATTAATTAAATTAATAATAACATTTCATTTTCAAGTAAAATTATTTTATGAAAGTAAATGCATTACAAATAGATTTTTTTAGACACAAGTTAACAAAAGTCGTAATTTTTAGTGGGTAATATTATATAATTATGATTACACAAATATTGCATAATTAAATTCAATAATACATATACATGTATTACTGAATCTATTAATTATACAATATTTATGTATATTTAATAATACATTTTATATGCTATGTATACGCAATAATACATATATATATTTATTTATACACTTATGGCTCCTGCACACAGGACGCGGTAATGCTTGCCGCGCGGCGGAAGTTCGCGCGACAGCCAATCAATATGTTATTTTTCCATAAGAACTAGAAGGTTATTACAGAAACCAGCATATTGATTGGCTGTCACGCGTTCTGTGTGCAGGAGACATATGATTGAGATTGAATTGAAAATTGGCCAATCAGAGTAAAGTTCATCAAACTTGAGCTTAGTAAATTTTGCTCTGATTGGCTAAATTTCAATTCAATCTCAATCCTAATCTATAGTCTGATACAGACTTTACGTATCCTATAGATTTGATGTACTGACACTGAATATCGGAACATACTTTAGGCTAATATTACATGCGTCGTACGACAAGCTTGTCAGCCGCTTTAATTGGTTGTCGGATAGTGAATTTTTAGGATACTTGGAAAAAAAAATTAAGGACTTTAGGAGAATTCTATTCAACAGCCAATCGACACATCCGACAATACTTGTCACACGACGCATATTAGTCTAAAGTATGTTCTGATATTTAGTGTCAGCACTAGGAATATACAGTTTATGTCACATATTCTATAGATTTGAAGTACTGACACTGAATATCGGAACGATACTTATAGCATCTAAAACATGATATTGCAAAAACGAGTTAATAACGATATCCTTAATAACGAGTTCAAATGATTTAATGAGCTTTTAACTAATGTTATTTTTATTAATATAGTTCTGGATCCTCGTTAGAAATCGTTTTTAACGAAGATTTAAATAGTACGAAGTCGTAGTACAACTCAACAATGGAATATATATAGACGGACCCTTCACCTTATTCTGAAAAATAGACAAAGTTAAACTGGTTGTAACTTTGGAAAAAAAACGCTATTAAAACGGTTCGAAAAATATTTTGCAGCTTGAAATCTCAAGTTTGCTATCATATTAATATTATAATTCTGCTATAATTTTTTGCTAAAATATAACCAGTTAAAAAAGTGGCATTTTGAACTTTAGTCTCCAAATATATTAAGAAACGATTTATATTAAAATATAAAGGAAATATCTTAAAGAGAGAAAATTTCAAGTTTTCTATTCATTTCTTTACGAACGGTATTCACTAATTTGTTCATTCTTTATAAGTGCTAAAAACAAAAACATTATATTTGCTTTAACGTTGAATAAATTATTGAAAAAATAATACTGCAACCGGTAGGTATGTAAATTAAAACGTCCACATTTTCAAATAACGTTAACAATTGAGTGCGATTTTAGGTTTGCAATCATCAACCTTATTCCCAAAAAATATGATATTTTTCAAGAATACAGCCCCATATAGTTTCAAAGTCTGTTCTTTTTAGTTGAACTAATGCTACGTTAAAACTCCATTCGTTTTCCATTCAATGCAAATGATGTATTTATTTCACTCTAACAGCAAAAATTATAATCGAGTTTAACCGAAAACAAATTTTTAATGCGTCATATTTATTTATTTGAACATAATATCGCTTGTCTAGGGATGCAATTAGGATGAACCCCTCAAAATTACTATGCCATCATAGGTCTATTCGTTTTTAAAAAATTTCTGAACTAGTGCACATTAGTACAATAAGTTAGAGTGAAAGGAAGTGTTTCACTTTAATTTATTGCACGAGTGCATAAGTCGTTCGGAAAAATGAACAAATCCCATGTCTACACATAGTATATGGAAACGAAAACTACCCCAAAAAGGCGGCAAGAAGCTATAGGGTCCTGCGCAACACATTTCAACAAAACACGACAAAACGCCGTTTGCCACGTGGAGCGAGAGGGGCGACTACTCGCTCACCGTGCGAAGGTGGCAGGGGAAAACTCGTTCGCCGACCGGAGGAGTGGGAAACTCGTTTGGCGTTTGAACGGAGTAGGGGGCTACGCGTTCGACGCGCGAGATACGGAGGGGATTGTTCCGAGACTGGTGAAGGGAAGGAACGGAACTGTACGCGCGCGGTGCGGTTGCGACCGAGGAGCGTACGAAGAACGGCTCCCGCGAGCGAGCGAGCGAGTCCGTTGCCGCATTGGCGCAAATTTCGGTTTGTTTTACGCCGGTTTACGTGAGAAAGAGAGAGAGAGAGAAAGAGAGAGAAAGACGCTCTCTTTCTATCCGCACGCAACGTACAGACGCAGCAGTGAAGCGTGCACGCTCGCGCGCGCCGTTGACGTGCGTCGCTTTCGAATACACAATTCGAGAGTATACGTAAATATAAAAAAAAAGGAAGAATAACAGCGAGACGTACAGTGCGCGAGTGTGTGATAACGAGCGAGACAGAGAAGATAGAGAAAGAGGGAGAGAAAGGAATTTCGGGCGTTCGTAGTGGGTGCTTCGTTTCTTCTGGTGGATTTCTCTGGTGATACGTGGTGTCACGGTGATCCTCCGATAGCGAGCGAAGGAGAGCCGTTGATAGCGCCAGATTTCGGATACTTGGCGAACGCACCTACTAAACAGCTAAGCGACAAGGTACGTATATTCATCACGGCCGTGTCGTTGCCGCGTCCACCGATGATGACGACGATAACGGCCCGGTTACACCACCGCGTGCTCTGCCGGCCGATCGATCGGTTGTTTCTCCAGGTCAGGTCACCGGGAGCGCACGCTGCGTGGGATCGTCCGTCGTACGCGGACAGCGCGGAATCCGAAATTGCGAAATCGGCGAAGACCGGAACGAGTTTCAGTCGGCGAGAGTCGCGATGCCGGGTGAGTAAGAGGCATCGCCACGCGTAGGCACGTCGCGGATCGCTCTTCCACTTGGCGAGAGAGAAAAATCGCGATGGATCTCTCTACGCCGCGCGACCGATCGAAGTCCAATTAATTAGGAACCGGTTTGACGAAATGTCACGTGATTCTACCCTGCGAAGCAGGAAAAGCAGCGCGTTTTTCACGTACGGAGAGAGACCTGTGGAATGAGAAGAGATTGACAGAAAGGGGTGTGTTTAGGTCGTGACACTTGGCGTTAGTGACTTGTCATTGTGGATGCATGTCGATTCATTGTTGCAGTAAATCGAGACAATCTTATCGTGTGAGGAATGCAAGACCCAATGCACGTATTGTTGTGGCAGAGTTCCGGTCTGATCATCACTACGTAAGGACGTTCTGACATAATTTGTAATTTTTTTATGATATACTTTGAATTATTTCTCTTTAAACTTTATCATCTAATTATCGTAAAATGGTATTGGAACATTAGACTTTATTAGGCGTCTGGAGTCGTATATTGAAAGAAAAAAAAAAAGAGTATTGTTGTGGCAACGTGCGTTCTCCCGATATGTAGCGGTTTAAATTTCTTGGGGTAAAATTTCGCTCGAGAAGAAAGTAATCAGCGAATCACTCAAATTCGAATGGTTTTATATAGAATATATTCTTCTCTCTGAGATCTTTCGAAAATTTGGCATAAAGCCGCTTATTTTATAAAAATTAAAAAGATCATATTGCTGATATGATCGTTCAACTTAGTCGAAAAATATAATCATAAATGGAGTCAAATAATAACAATTTTCGCGAGCATTCGCAGAAGGTTTACGGTGGTATAATCGGCCGGAGCGTGAAATGATTTTCCACGGTGATTCTCCGTGACAAGTGTTACGGCGATTTTAACGGAATAATCGACACGATAATACAGCGTGATCTACTGCTACGTGATGTTCAACAATTTTCTGTGTCTAATTGGGTTTTTTTGCGATTTGATAAATGTCTCGCTTGTCTCGCGTGCAAATCGATGTGACACGTAACATTTGACACATGAAATATCGTATGTTATGGTACATTTGTTTCAATTTGCACGATATTCTAATATAACTCGATAATCTCTAAAAAATACCTATCGGTTGTAATGTCCCCGACGAGTTACACGAATATTACAAAATTTAACCAGTTTCTTGCACTTTTATTGTGAAGAGTTGTTTTTTAATAAATTGAGTACGCTGAATATAACTTCAAAAACTATCCGTTAGGTTTTCGAGAGAAAAGAAGTTAAAAAAATACGATTTTGGTCATTTTCATAAATTAGTGTATTAATTAAAGTATAGCATTGTGGAAGCCATTCTCTTGTCATACCGAATCCGCAATTGTCAATTTTAAATATTAAAATCAGCGACCACAAAAGGTGACATAGTTGAATGGGATATTTTTTTCTGCAATCCTTTTTATATCCTGAGTCTGTCCCTAACAAAAATTTACCCAAAAACTTATAAAATGTGATATATAATTTTGCTATTTTTTGTTATATACATTTGTGACAGTACTTCATTCTGCTGTGAAAATGACTTTTAAGAAGTTATATTTTAAATTTCTGTTATTTTAAAATAAAGACAACTCTAAACTTCAATTTTAGACTTTCTCGAAGTTGCTGGCACATCTGATTCAGGCGTTACGAATTTATGAAAATGTTCAAAAACGTGTTTTTTTGGGGGATTAATTTTCTAGGAAACTTGACAGTTTTTAACATTTACGTTCATATTCAGCATCCTAGGTTTGCTAAAGAACGATCCTTTATGACAAAAATGCAAAATCTTATAACATAGTTATTAATAGAGTTTTCTTAGCGTTTATCTTTTCAATTAATGTGACGTCGAAATTGATCGTGTCAGCAAATAAATTAGAAAAGCATACGGAAAATATACGGTATTCCTGAAAAAGGAAGGATACGTCCCAGCCAGACGATACCTCGTTCAGAACAGCAGCAGCAGCGCGCCGCGATGAACCGGACGGTGGAATCTGGAAAAAATATACCGGTCCGCGAGTTTTCCCCCCTTTTCCTTGCCTCGAACGAGTTCTCGCGGCGGCGATTATAACGGGCGCGAACCCCGGCATGGTGTACGTGAAATTGGAGCGGACTTCGATCCTTCCACGAACGGTACCCGCGTCGGTATCAGCCTCCGGTGAGCGCTCCGCAAGGAACAATGAATGATGTAATCGAGAATTACAGATCCTCCGGAAGAGAAGGAGATGGAGAGGAAGAAGGAGGAGTGAGGGAAGAAGAAAAAAGTGGAGAGAGACAGAGAGAGCGAGCATAATCGTGCAACGAAGCCGCACACCTGCGCAACTATAAGCGATTTACACGCTCAGTTAACGAACTATTGATCTGTTCTGTCGAGTGAAGGACGCAGTTTGCAAGAATCTTCGGTTGAAAGTAGTCATCGGATGAATGAGCAATAATGTTCAATTGCTTGGCGAAAAATTAAGCCTGATGAAATAAAGTTAATATCCAGGTAGACAGGTGTACGTAAAATTGGCAACAACTTTACCAGACGGTTTGTAAAAGTTATGAGCTTTATAACTGACTCATATAGCACTCGTCACTTTCATCACACAGAATGACGAAATAGAAACACGGAAGGAATATAAAAAAAATTTTTTTTATTTACTTTAAGCAATTTGCTATAATTTGCTATAAAAATATGAGTATAATTTGTTGCTCTGCATTAATACAACAAAAGTTACGTTATTGCGTGGTATAGATTTAATGGACAATTTAATTTATTTACTATCCATACAGCACAGATCTTGCAACAACATTGCGGCAACACTGCTGCAACTTTTAACATTGCTGCAACGTTGCAGCAATATTGCTGCAAGATCTGTGCTGTATGGGTATATTTATATATATAAATATACCCATACAGCACAGATCTTGCAGCAATATTGCTGCAACGTTGCAGCAATATTGCTGCAAGATCTGTGCTGTATGGGTATATTTATATATATAAAAAAAAATATATATATATATATATTTCATAAATCTAACTAAAAAAAAATGTAAAGTTTCCATCATCGAATGTCTGCACAATCATGAAAGTCTACCTAAACAATATTAAATTATTTGCGGCTCTAAAAATCTGAAAATCATACAAATCTCTAAATTAAAATTATAAAAATGATTAATTTCGGAATTCATAATTCCATAAATATGTTTGGATATTGAAACTCGAGAAGACTAAACCTAAAGAAGCGAGATTCGAGGCTTCACAGGCTCGACGTTTGAAACTCGAGACTTCATGCTCGAGGGTTCAAAGTTAGAAGTTGAGGAGCTAGGAACTGAAAGAAAGAGAGAGAGAGAGAGTCAGAGAGTTAGATACCGAGAGGGGCTAAGGGAGAAACCAAGAGCCCAGAGAGTCGAGCGTTGAGAATCGCGAATGAGAGTTAAGAAACGGGAGTTGAAAGCAGAAAGCCGAGAGCGGAGAATCGAGAGTTTACGGTGGAATTTACACTCGGACTCGTTGCATGCTGGACGACGTTAGACGGTTCTAATGGCTCTCCCCCGGTGCGCTTCTACATACCCTGCGGAATAATACCGTAACTCTCAATGGACCTTTTTTCGCGGTGAACGCGCGTCTCCACGCCGATGTGGTAACTTGCCGAGCCGGAAGCTGGTGTGCGTGCGGTAGCGTGCGTACTACCAAACGCGAAGTGTATACGCAACGGATGTGTGCGTATGTGTGTGCGCGCGTGCACACGCAACCGCACGTCTGTGTTTTCTGTGGAGTTGCTGGACCGCTCTAGGAGCCTGTACTCTCGCGGTCTCCCTTCTCGTCTCCTACCTCCAACCAGCCGACTCGGACCCAGAGAGATCCTTAGTGAGACCCATAGGGGCTCGAGACGGCGGTCGACTCGGGTTACGCGGTCTTCAAGGCCCACGACCGACCCCGCCTTCCGTCAATCGACAATTGGCGAAGGCGCTTGAGAAAAAATACTGTGAATCGCAGATGCCACTTCGCGAAGATCCTCGAGGCGACGTATCTGAATGATTTCCGTGTTGTTCCGTGTTCTATCTTACAACGATAGAAGAAACGATCGATAATATATTTTTTGCAACTTGAATAGCGATAATGAAAATACTGCCACTCTGAATGAAGTGACATTTTACTTTTCATAAGAGTGAATACTTCATTCCAAGTGAATTTTTACGATTAAATAAAAAGAAAAATTTATCGTGTTTGTAATAGTGACTACTCTCATTATTGCGTTTTTTTTATGGTATGCCACTTAATTATATTTATAATAGTTTAAAATTCGCTGACCACAGGGGCTTGAACCTGAGATTTCTGGCTCTTGAATCATTCGCCTTACTGAGACACTGCTGACACACTACTAACACCGGGAAAATCCATTCCATAACACAGAATGAAAATTTTCACTCCACGATACAGAAGGAAGAAATTCACCCTATAAGAGTGAGGAGTCACTCTGATTCGAGTGACTCGGCTGTCATTCCATTTTTCGAGTAACATTTTCAAAAAATTTAGAGAGTACAGATATGTCTTGTGTTTTCACCGTAATTATATTCGCATAATCAACGGAACGTGCAACAACGAATTTCAGTACTCACGGTTTACCCCCAATGCAGAAGAAGAAAGAAAACTTCCTTCATTTAATCTCTCTCTTTTCTTGCTTTCAAACCCCGCGCATATCGAACGTGGTGGCAATATCATTCAATATGAGTTTACATGTCTCCGGGTAGAAGG